CCAGGCATGCCACCCCTGCAGCCAGGCACGCTGCCACCAGGACCAGCTCAAGCAGACCCAGGCATGCCACCTCTGCAACCAGGCACTCTGCCACCACAAGAGCCAGCAGCAACTCCAGCAGCCGTGCCACCTCTGCAACCAGGCGCGCTGCCACCAGGACCTGCTCAAGCAGCCCCAGGCATGCCACCTCTGCAACCAGGCACGCTGCCACCACAAGAGCCAGGAGAAGCTCCCACCCCAAACCTGCCAGAAGAGCCAAACGCACCAGCAAACCCAGCACACCACAAGGCAGGCAGTCCAGCAGCACCAGAAGGAGCCGTCTCTGGAGCAGCGCCAGCGCCGTCCGCACCAGCCATGCCATCTACACCTCCAGCGGCTCCAGCGGACCCAAAGGCAAAGGCGCAAGCAAAGGCAAAGAATAAGAACGCAGGGAGGAAGTGAGTCAGCAACAGCTTCGGCCAGCTTGAAGCAAAGCGTCAATTCTCCCGCTTGGTTTCTGAACCAGTAGCCCTCACTTTTAAATAAATACATGTTTTGGGCGAAGTACCGAGGCTGGTGCGGCCTAGTTGATTGGAGGGGTGTTGGACGTCCTGGAGAGCGGTGATGTTCAACAGGGGCCACATGGTAGACATAGTTCTTGAAGACCCCACAACCCTAGGACTCGGACTCAACTCCTTTAAAGGTAGAAGGCTTCCTACCCGTACCCAATCAACCGCACCTGATGGATTTGCTTTTACGTCACCATGTTGAGACTTTGGCCACTTTACTCTCATGGGCTTATTTCTAACTTAAACACTTGGTTTTCACAGTATATTGCACACGGTTTTTGGCCAGAGTTGTCGCTTTTTCTCCAGCTAGCTTGAATGCAGCAAAGCAGCGCCAAGCCTCTCCCTTCTTGATGTTGAAACAGCATCCGCAAAGACAGGCCAAGACCGCAGCTGCCAAAAGAACATGGCTCAGTCCACATGTGTTCAATGGCTTCCTACCATCCGAAGAATGCATCCATGATTCAGTTGTTTGCCGATGCAGGTGTGTGAGAAAACGGATCTTACCTCCGACGCTCTCTTTGAGCATAACCCAGAGGACTCTGCCACTTACAAAGAGGAGTTTCTTCTCTTGGAGCGCTCAGCGGTGGGGGCTTGGGGTTGGAAACATTTCAGTGGTTTCGTGTTCACATGTTGTCATTGACTGTCTCCTAACTTTTCGATTTCCCCTTGTAGGCATTGGAGGCTTCAGAGGTCATACCTCAGGGGAGCACCTCAAAGTTACGTGCGCTCAGCCGGGTCTTCAAACGGCATGAGCCATATTCTGTGGCGCAGCTGGCAAATGCCATGAGTCCAGCGCTACCCTTGGACAAGTTCCTTCCAACGTCAGACCCCCCTCAGGGTGCCAGGGCTTTGGATGACATCCTCAAAAAACCTACGCTGATACCAACTTGTGACCAAGAGCCAAAGCAGACTCTCGACAGCGTTGCAACAGGGCGTGCTATTATTGTAGTCAACAGGTCTAATGGGTATTATTAACGGCGTGGGGTGGCTGGTGTTCATAGTTCGGCCTCAGGATCAAATGGCTTCATCGAATGGCATACCAGGCAAAACTCCGGATGCTCCTCAAGCGCGATGAGCACCACCGCTTGCAAAACGATAGCATTGCTGCCCCAAAGCAGTGCCAAATCTGGGGACCAGTTTGTTGGCAAAAGAGAGTTTTGTATTTTTGGAAACTTGGAAAATAGCAAAGCACTAGCTTGTAGTTGAAAATGCAATAGCTGTGAAGGAGCAGTAGCGGCGACCAAACTTTGCATGTCCGTGCTAAAGAAGCCTTTCGACTCCTACGATGCGCAGCAGCAGCTTGGAACACTGGCATTGAGCTACCTTGAGATGCATGGCCCACACTCAGAGGAGTTCTCCAGCGGTCGTGGAAACTTTTTGGTTGTGAGGTCCTAGTTCTCCTTTTCTTTGGGTTGCTTTCCTTCACCCTGCCACTGCTACTCCCTTGAAAACCAGGTTTCAAGTGGACCTTGCTGATATGCGGTCTGACCTTGGCCTGGACGCAGCAGCTCCTGCTGAACATGTGCATGGGGTCTTGGTGTCCACGATGACATCCTTTCTGAAGCCATCAGAGGCGTTGGCTGCCAAAGCAAATGGGCACAAATTGGCAGATGGTCCTTCAGTTGTTTGTTCACTGTTGGTTTGCCCCAGTTGGCCGACCCCTGCAGGTTTCCCTCTCTCGCTTTTTCTCTTGGAATATCCGCTTTGCTGGGTGGCGTAGATTCTGGACTTTTCTCAGAAAGCTCTTGGATTTTCGAGCCACGGTGATGGGCAAGGTCGACATTGATCAGGAGAATGCCGCTGCTTGTCCGCATGTCGAGTCAAGTTTTCTGTTTTGGTGGTTTCGTGTGGACACCAAAGGAATTCAATTTTGAGAACGACTTGCCGCGCTTGCAAGGAGGCCCCTTCTGAAAATGCAGCTGCTGCAGCAGGGCAAAACGTGAACAGAAAAGACAAGCTTTTGGCGCTTCTTCGGGAATTGCAATCTCAGAAGGGCACGCTGGATGTGGTTCATGAGGTGCTGAGAGATGTCCAAATGAAGCATTACGCGACGCAGAAACTTGATTTGACATCAGCCTTTTTCAATCTTTCAGGAGTTGTCACCCTATACTATATTCGGTCATGTTTGAACTGTTTCTTCCCCTTCAACAGTCACATGATGAGGATATACTACTCCCAGGTGGCAATGCGTGAAGAGCATTTGGCGCTGCAGGCTGACACCAAGACTCGAGAGGGCAACCGGGCAGTGCAAGCCTCATGGGCGGCTGGAGGGTGGGCTTCGTGTGTGGGTAAAACCCTCGCATTCCTCTCAGATAGCGCTGCGATGGAGCGGTTGGGCTTCTTTGATGAAGAGGCTTTCACTGACTGCGACACCTACTTCGCCTTGATTGTGGCTGCTGCCTCGCAGCGAGCGTGGAACATGTCCCTGTGGTCGCAACTTGCACCATACCAGTGGGCCTCTGTGCTTCATGAAGATCTCGAAATGGCACAGCAAGGTCTGGAAAGAATGAAGGCGGACTCTGACGTTGTCCAGCAGGCATGGCGCGCTGTCGAACACCCCGCTGCAGACGTGGAGGCGGGCTTGGTAACCAAGTCATTTGTGGAGATGAAACAGGTTTCTCCTATACACCGTTTTTTGTTTTGAGAAGCTGAGCTAGAGATGCCCTTTCACTTCCACCATTCGCCCGGTGGATGCTGCAGGGTCTCTCGAAGATCTTGGACCACTTGTGGATCCACAAGCTCACATTGGTGAATGAACCCTGGAGCTTTTAAGCAGGTTTTCTTGATTCGCAACCTGTATCAATGTTTGTCAGATTAGATGTCCAGTCAACCTGTCTCAGGAAACGTGGGCCCATGCGTGTGCCCATGGGTGGCAGGTGGATAGCGTTTTTGCTCACATTTTCTTTTGCTTCGACACCCTGGTGAGCACAAAGGAGTGCTTGGAGGATGTTCTGGGATCGTTGAAGTCGCTTGCCAAGAACAGCAATTCCAATCCTTTCAAAGCTGCCTCTCCTGAGCGATTGTTCCTTCAAAACGTGCTCTCTGTGCGTTGGGACCCTACAGAATTTCCACTTCTAAGAGTCCAGCCTGGAGATATGGGAAGCAAGTCTTTCTATGAGACGAGCACGGCAAGACAGACTGTTTTCTTGCCGAGAAAGTTCAAGAGCAACCCATGCAAGGTTGTGGAGCAAGTGCATGAGGCGGTGAAGGCAGAATCTTCAGGCGCCTGTTTTTCCAATAAAGTTTGAGTGTTCAGCGCTCAGCCTTTCCAATGGATGTTGTATGATTTTGTCCTATTTGCCTCTCGCCTGTAACTGATTTAGACTTCAGAGCTCGCCCCTCTGAAGGCTTGCTGACAGAGCCGATGGCAGGCCAGCAGTCTCACGTGCAGGCCGTGAAGCCTGCGGGGCAAGAGGCTGATTGGAGGAGCGTGGCTGCTATCACAGCACTGAGATGTTTGGCCAGCACTTCCTTTGTTGACGCATCAGCCGTTTGGTGCACTGCTGCGTTGGAACGTGGCAAATTGTTCCAAGAGAAGCTTGCTGATGATTGCTTGGGGAAAGTCTACCTGTCTTTGGGGTTCCACTTCTCAGCAGCGATTCTATGGGAGGTCGAGGAGGTCCAGCCTGAACTGTATCAACTTGCAGCAGATGGTTTGACGGCAGGATCTAGCAATGCGCGGGTTCGCTACGTTTGCCTTACTACAATGACCGTGGATGGGAGAGAGGAAGCTTTTGAGGGGATTCCTGTTGACATCTGTGCCTTATGAAGGGAACCAACACTTTTTCACGGGTTGTTTGAGCGTCCTTTGTAGTGGTATACTCTAAAGCTCAGGGCTTGCTGTTTAGTTTAATCGTTTTAGTAGGCAGAGCAGAGTGGGGAACTGGGCATGGGAACTGGGCATCTTGCTTGAGGTCCGCCGTTGGCCCACGGTCACAAAAACCTCGGCATTTTGCTGCGTCGATCTGGCGCCAACCTCCCTCTCAGTAAGTTCTTTCTGCTGCATGGTAGCCTTCAGAATGTTGATGACAAGTTCCTCCACAAGCTAGTCCTTTGTTTGGGGCTCACACCCAAGAAATACAAGGAGACCAGGGTTGGCAACAAATCGTGGGCGACTCTTGGTTTTGGCAGGTGACAAGTTTTGGTTGTATCACGTTTATGGGTTTTACACGGCGACAAGTTTTGGGTGTATCATGTCTACGTGGCTTGGTAAGAAGCTCTTTTCTTTGCGGTGTTCCGTTCTGAGGATGACCTTGATCCAGTCTCTGTTTCCAGAGATGACTGAGGAAGAGCAGGAAAAACTTTTGTTGAGATTGCTAGACACTACAACTCGCAAAGGGCTGCTCAGCAACAAGACACTGCATAGTGTCTTTGAGGTCTTAGACCGTGGGGACGAGGACATGAAACTTTTTGCTGACTTGCAGCGACAAGTCGCTGATGTTTGGCGCACTGAATATGTGATTTCCCGTGTCGGAAGGGCAAAGGCTGCTGCTGAAGCTATGACCCCAGTGTTGATCAAGCAGCTAAAGCCACCAGGCCCTAAGGTATACCTTGCATGGCAAGTTTCCATGAGTTGCTTTGAAGGGTACTACCCTAGGCCTGCGCTTGAGAAAGTGGCAGGAAAGGGAGGTGCTCAAAACAGAAGAAAAACCCATTTTTCGACAAGCCGAACTTATGGTGGAGCAAGGACTTCCAACCGCACTCAAGAGGCAGCTTTGCAGCTGGTTGTTCAGTTTTTGTGGGGCCACCACAAGAAGCAAGGCGGCGATCCTTGCCAGTGAAGTTCTGGTATTGTTTTCGCGTCTTAGTGATTGATAGGCGCGCCAACTAGCACTAGGCACTGCATCTTTTTTTAAACATTGTTGGCAAATCTGAGGACATGACAGGAAAACCCAGCAAGCAGGACATTTTGGACGCCTTGCAAAAGTGCACCCAGGAACCAGACGCATGCCTTGCAACCGAGGCTGACCTCAAGGAAATAGATGCTGCCAAACGCGGAGAGGAAGCAAACGACATGAACCCAACCGAATCCCCAGCCAAAAAGGCAAAACGAGACAAACCCGATACATGTTTGCCCAGCAGTGAGGAGGACCCATCTCCATCCCCAGAGCCTCAGTCAGAGTCATCGTCGTCTTCGTCCTCAGAAAGCTCGTCGCCCAAAGCAATGTCTTCCACCGCTAAGCCGAAGAAACGACAATCGCACAAGAAGAAAGGTGAAACCCACAAGAGCGTGAAAAAGGACAAGAAAACGCCAGCAAAAGGAGCGAAAACCAGCACAGAAACTGCGCGTGGGAAGGACAAGAGCTCAAGCAAAACTGCGTCAACACACAGCAAGAAACAGCCAGCTACAGCAGCAGCTAAACCAAAAGCGAGGACAACGCGTAACCTGATTTGCGGCTTAGCAGATTTTGCGCTGCTTTGTTGGTAGTGGGGATTTCTAGAGAAACAACTCGCTTAATGTGTTTATGCCAGCCCTAGGCATCGACACAAGCAATGTTGCGATCCCAAATTTCATGCGGCGATGAGGAGGAAGCGTCTCACCCAGACAGATATCTCACCTGGAGAAAAGAAAAGTGCAGTGGGCCAGCCCCTGCTCGTTGCTGTGTGGGATAAACCTGCTGTAATTTGCAGTAGTTTCACTGTAACCTTATCTAACTTGTTGTTATTCTGTCCTGACTTGATCTGGTTAAGGTGCTGGTCAATTTGCACCAACTTAACTTTCCAGTAGATTTTCCTGCAGTCATTTTTCTTGATACTGGACAACTGCTGAACTCACTCGAACTCTCCGCCTGCTTCCGAGGGGCAACAACTCGGGAGACGCCCTGGGGCTCACCACACCCCAGGCGACGGCCCCGGTTCCGCCGGTGGACGGGTTCCGCTGGTGGACGCGTGGACCCTCCACCCGAAAGAAGCGATGCCGAACCAAAAGACCGCCTCATGTACGTAGGAGGTCGTGGTAGGCGCCCAAAGCTCCCTTTGCAACTTCACCGAACCTCCTGGATAGCACCCTTCACCTCCTTTGTAACTGCTCGAGCTTCCGTGACTTGAACTACCCCACCTGGAAGTCATAATCCACCAAGACTTTAGGGGCAAAATGAGTATGAGTACGAGTCATCAGTCATGGCTCTCATGGTTTGTTCAGAAATTCTTGTTGCCACGCGATCGAGCGTTCTCAGTTTTTCAGGCTTTGTTTCTGTGATATATATATATACCCTGGGAGTCAAAGACTATATGCCTGATGTATACTTACTTGAGACCTAGAAAATTAATCGAGACCTCTGCAAGTGCTTTGAGCTCAGATATGGCAGAATTATGTAGAGTACTTGGGGTACCCCTGGATTAATTCCACTCCCCCCAGCCTAAAAGTTAAACCAGACGCAGCATCCTCCAGGTTAATTTTCTGAAAACACTCTGCAGGTAGTCAGATTAATTTTTTAAATTAATCCAGGGGTACCCCCCTCTACTCTCCATCTTGGAAGGGTACATGTAAAAAGAATGGTCTTGAAAGGGGACCTGAAAGGGAACTTCCTTTACTCCAGCCGGTCAAAATATAGTCTTTGGACTTCTAGGGTATATATATATATATAGTCTTTGATACTCTGTGAACCACCTGCATCCCGTCGATCCGCATGAGGTATACATTCTGGGGCAACCGACCGGACCGGACCGACCGATGTGTCATGGCGCTGTGGCGACCGGTTGAGAGGCCGTTCGGTGTCCAACACAAGCAAGACGCGTAAGCAACTCATCCGTTCGTGAGTGTGACGAACACACACAAAAGTAATATTATATAAACGTTATGTGTGTAGTATATATATATATATATGTATACCTAGAGCCCATTTGACCTCCGTTTTGAAAGGAAAAGACCTTATTTTGGGTGGTTGGTGATCCAACATAGAGGTCATTCAGGTTCTATATATATAACTATATATCTGAGTATACAGTACAATTATAGTTGTTAAAAATACATTATAAATATAAATATATGAACATCATGCTTGTTGGCCGTACCGTTGGCGCAGTGGGCAAGGGCTGATGACAAGAGTATCGAACATCCCAAGTGACAAGCCTGCTTTAATATCAATCTTCGTTGCAAGTTCAATGGCGGGGAGGAACAAGAAAGGTTTTGATGAAATGGTGCTCTTTGGATACTATACCTTTTATTATTCTATTTTGGAGAGATTTGTTAAAAGAAGACAGGGAAGGCTGAAGATGGGTTCAGATTGAACTGCACTAATTAGGTAACAATTCTTGATTAATCACTCCCCCATTTGGATGCGAACAACCCTCTTCATTTTGGGAGATTTTTTAATCAAGTCTACATTACAGTCGGCTAAATGGAATGTTCTGTTTACATAGGTTCTTGCTCCCGATGTTTCCGAAACGACCCCAAGCGTTCGAGAAGAGCTTGAATTCTGATACTCCTGGGTATTGACCCTCCCAGGAACAAGTGTATCCTTTTTCAATAGACCATCAAGCATGTCTCGACTGATCCAGTTTTCGGCACCCCACTGCTCCATCGACACCCGCGCCTGCGCCGCCCAGCCGCGCCAGGTGAATCTGTTGGCCGCGCAGGCGCAGTACTCCGTGGTGGTGAACGCGGCGCTCTTCAACGAGCTTCTGGGCTCCTATCCGGACCAGACGGACGTCTGAGCTGGAGTGCGAGTCCGGAGCGGAGACGCTGGGAGTCCTAGGGGGAGTGTATCCGGGTCTCCGGGTTTGAGCTGGAGGTATGAGTGAATCCCGCATTTTCTGGGAAGATGTCTTTTTTGTCCCCCATTTTCTGGTGCAAATCCAAGGTATGTTTTTGATGGATGGGTTCAAAGGAGAGGGGAATCATCATGAATCATCTCAATCATCGCACATGGCCACCCCGACACACCTATGCCATGGGAGTTGCTCCTTGCGGATGGCGTCGTAGCAGTCTTTCCTGATGTCAGTTTCACCCAAAGCCCTAGATGGCCCTACTGGTATAGCATTGAAGTCTTCGTTGAAGGACACCCGCACAAACCAAAAAGCGGCACGATGCTGTGTTCTCTTTCTCTCGCGCGTGATCTTTGGTGCTCTGTTCGAGACAAAGGCTCAAGCTGCCCTTTTAACCTGGCTGTGCGAGCGAGCTTAGGTGTTCGCTCCATTTTTGGCCTTTCAGGTTTTCGACTTAATACTCCTTCGGTTTTCCAAAAGCAATGGCCTCTACTTCTAAGACCACCGTCGCCGCCGCCGCGGGTGCTGCCTTCTTGACCGCTGCGACCAGCTTCGTCACACCGGGCGCCGGCAGCACATCGAGCCACCTGCGAGCAACCGCAGCTGCTTCAAAGCCTGTGGAGGCAGAAGTGGGTCGGTCCGTCGGTCCAGCGTGGCCCGTTTACACGGCCGGACCGAAGCAGGGACCGAAACCAGGTTCGGTGGGACAGTGGGACACCCTGAATCACTTCTAAGAGAGAGAGAGAGAGAGATAGATAGAGAGAGAGAGATAGAAAGCCTATAAATTAGACACCAGAAGGAAGGTCCTGATATATACCACATTTGCCGATCAGCTGGGGTGGTGGTGCCAGGGGATTCAATGCAGGCATGGCACACATGGAGTGCCTGGGGTTACAATCTGGATTTGGGTCGAACACTGGGAAAGCTAGACCACCAAAACCAGGAAGGTCAACCCTACCAGGGTGAGACGGGCTTTGCATGCCATCCACTTCCATGTGATGTGTTCGTCAGAGGGTCCACTTCCATATCCCCCTGGAAAACAAACAGGGCCGACTCAACAAATGGATGGACATCTGCAGTCCCCACCACTACTAGGAGCAAGGACGCTACGAACGGGGCTCGTGGCATCGCTAGGAACGGAGCCTAGGAGCAAGTAGCTACTAGTAGCAAGAGGATCTGGGACCAAACTCTGCCGGCCCAACCACTTGTTATGGAACGGATCTCAAGAAAGCCGGAAAAACCCTTGGTTTCTGGTTGGGACTCTGGGACTTCCATAGCCCCGAAAGGAAGACTCCTTTCCTCAAACAGCGGGGTTTGTCCACAGGAACAAGAAGCTACTAGGGGCTCCTGGCCTTTCTACCAGGAGCAAGGACGCGCTACGAACGGGGCTCCTGGCATCACTACGAACGGAGCATTCTTACTACTAGGAACATGAAGCTTATGGGTTTGTCCACTTCCATGTTTGTTTCAGGGAGTGTACGGGGCGAGTCCAGCCAGGCTAGCGGCAAGCTGTTGGATTGAACGTTCCAGTGTTGCCTTTTGTACATGTTGAAACCACGCGAAGTATTGCCCCCTGAGAAGCGAAAACAAGGGACATTAAGAATATTGCCCATCAGACATGTACAAGCCACATTACAGTAGGAATGTTGCTTCATTGAACACATACAAACTACGTTTACGAACATATTACCTGTTCAGCATTTACACATTTACAAGCTGCATTTGGAATACCGCCCAGTGAACACTTACACATTAAGAAATATCGACTATTAAGCACTTGCAAACTGCACTACTGTAATGTACTTTTGAATACATGCAACTGCATTAGGAATCTTGCCTGTTGAGCATTTACCAAATACACATGCTGGGAATCACATGCCCATCCAGGAGGCACCTGTCGCACGCCGCAAACTGGGACAGGACAGGAACTTTGCGAACATTGACCACTTACGCACTACTAAGACATCTGGCAGGAATTGAACATTGACCAAATACATGGCAGGAAGATGGCCTATTGAAAACTTACAAACTGCATGCGAAATACTGCTTTTTGAACACCTACAAAACTGCATTA